GGGTTTAGGGGTTATATAGGGGTTCAGGGTTTTCTTGGGGTTTATAGGGTTTTGGGGGTTTGGGGGTTTAGGGTCTTGGCTTTGGACATCTGAAGCCCCGGCATGATCCAGAAAGAGGTCGACATTCTTCGACTTCGCCTTTCCCGAAGACTCCTGCGCCCGGAAAGTTGGGCTTTAGGGCTTTAGGGGCTCAGGGTTTTTAGCGTAGGGGATTGAAGGTCTAGTGTCTAGGGATTTAGGGTTTAAGGTTTCGGGCTTTAGTGGTTCGGGGTTTAGGGCTTTGGGGCGTTTCGGACTGAGGATCCCTCTTAAAGGCTGCTGTTGTCGAGGAGGGGGAGGGTTTAGACGTTCATTCTTTAGTGTAGCTCGCGGCTTCTTGCTACCATTTCTTGACGGGATACAATTGCTTGTGGCTTCTTCTGGCAGGCTTGCCCTTGGAAGCGCAACACCGTGGTAGGGCGTGTCATCAGAGCAAGCGCGCAAAAACGATCGGGGGTTGGGACGCATCCAGGGTTTGAGGCCAATGTCATGAATTCCCTGTAGTCCCTATACCTTACTTGCCCAATGATAATATACTACTAAAGTATAAGAATTGGAGAACTAAGATGCTTCCCCTGTTGTGGGTATGAAATCCAAGGCCCTACTGGCCTCCAGCTCTTGCTCTCGCCGCAGGACGTAGGACAAGGCTGCCTGCAGCAGGCTGTCGACACAATCCACGGAGTTTGTGTGGTGTAGTAGGAATTCTAGAAATGCGACGGGATATCATCAACCCTAAACCCTAAACCCCTAAACCCTAAACCCCAAACCCTAAACCCTAAACCCCTAAACCACTCAAACCTAACCCCTGAGTCTCTTCAGGCTGCCCGGCGAGGAGGTATTCAGCATTCCCAACCAAAGGCTCAGCTCGAAGTGCCAGTCAAAAGGGGTTTGGGGGTTTAGGGCTTAGGTTTTAGGGTTTAGGGTTTAGGGCTTAGGGTTTGGGGTTTAGGGTTTAGGTTGAAGCAAAGCCCCAGAGCTCCAGGTATAAGCACTTGTTTAAAAAGAAGCCCTTGTTACGGA